AACAAACACAGCAGAGCTTTTTTCTCGTTATTCTCGATCTTTCTCGATTGTTCTACTCTTCTTTTCTAGACTTTATATAAGCATCAGTCATAGTTGCATTTTACTTGCATTTTTCTCTCGTCAACATTCTTCGTACACTTTAAATCTTCATCAAGCGCTTTCTTTTTGCAGCAATGTCTGAAAACATGGAACAAAATGCAGGTGATGTTGAAACATTTGCTTTTCAAGCTGAAATAGCTCAATTAATGTCGTTAATTATCAATACATTTTATTCAAATAAAGAAATCTTTTTACGTGAACTTATTTCAAATTCATCGGATGCTTTGGATAAAATTCGATATGAATCACTTACTGATCCAACGAAATTTGATACCGGAAAAGAATTATATATTAAAATTATACCAGATAAAGCTAACAATATGTTAACGATCATAGATACCGGTATTGGTATGACAAAAGTATGTTTAAAAAAAAAAAAAGTATGACTTTTAAATGAATATTAAACATTTATTATGTTTAGGCTGATCTTGTTAATAATTTGGGTACAATTGCTCGATCAGGTACTCGTGCTTTTATGGAAGCACTTCAAGCCGGTGCTGATATTTCAATGATTGGTCAATTCGGTGTTGGTTTTTATTCATCTTATTTAGTAGCTGATCGAGTAATAGTTACATCAAAACATAATGATGATGAACAATATGTATGGGAATCAAGTGCTGGTGGTTCATTTACCATTAAACGTGATACAACTGGTGAACCACTTAATCGTGGTACAAAAATTGTTATGTATCTTAAAGAAGATCAAACTGAATATCTTGAAGAAAAACGTATTAAAGAAGTTATTAAAAAACATTCACAATTTATTGGTTATCCAATTAAATTACTTGTACAGAAAGAACGTGAAAAAGAAATATCAGATGATGAAGCTGAAGATGAGAAAAAAGAAGAAAAGAAAGATGAAACTGAAGCTGTATGTTTTCATTTTTTATTTTGATTGAAATTTTTATTTAATTATTATTGAATTATTCTAGAAAGTTCAAGAAGTTGATGATGAAGATGAAGATGATAAGAAAAAAGATGCCGAGAAAAAGAAGTATGTCTTTCTCGGAAAAAAGAAATCTTTTTAAAAATGTATAAAAATTTTATCAATATATATATATATATTTGTAGGAAAAAGAAAATCAAAGAAAAATATACTGATGAAGAAGAACTTAATAAACAAAAACCAATTTGGACACGAAATCCCGAAGATATATCAACTGAAGAATATGCTGAATTTTATAAACAATTAACAAACGATTGGGAAGATCATTTAGCTGTTAAACATTTTAGTGTTGAAGGTCAACTTGAATTTCGTGCTTTATTATTCATACCAAAACGTGCACCATTTGATTTATTTGAAAATCGTAAAACAAAAAATTCCATTAAATTATATGTACGTCGTGTATTTATTATGGAAAATTGTGAAGATATAATGCCAGAATATTTAAATTTTATTAAAGGTGTTGTTGATTCTGAAGATTTACCGTTAAATATTTCACGGGAAATGTTACAACAAAATAAAATTCTTAAAGTTATAAGAAAAAATTTAGTTAAAAAATGTATGGAATTAATTGAAGAATTATCAGAAGATAAAGAATCATTTAAAAAATTTTATGAACAATTTTCACGTAATTTAAAACTTGGTATTCATGAAGATTCAACAAATCGTGCTAAACTTGCTTCATATTTACGTTATCATTCATCAACATCAGGTGATGAAGTAACATCATTTAAAGAATATGTATCACGAATGAAAGAAAGTCAAAAAGATATTTATTATATAACGGGTGAATCTCGACAAATTGTTGAACAATCAGCATTTGTTGAACGTGTACGTAAACGTGGTTTGGAAATTATTTATATGACTGAACCAATTGATGAATATTGTGTACAACAATTAAAAGAATTTGATGGCAAAAAACTTGTTTCAGTTACAAAAGAAGGTTTAGAATTACCTGAAGATGAAGATGACAAGAAAAAGTATATACATAATTAAGATATTTATTATAAAATTTTAATGTTTTCTTTCTTTTTTTCTTTTTAGACAGGAACAAGACAAAGAAAAATATGAAACATTATGTAAAGTAATGAAAGATATTTTGGATAAGAAAGTTGAAAAAGTTCTTGTTAGTAATCGACTTGTTTCATCACCATGCTGTATTGGTAAGTTTTCAAATATATATTTCTTTATATAAATTCTTATTCATTTTCATATTTCTAGTTACATCACAATATGGTTGGTCAGCAACTATGGAACGTATTATGAAAGCTCAAGCATTACGTGATACATCAACAATGGGTTATATGGCTGCTAAGAAACATTTGGAAATCAATCCTGATCATTCAATTATCAAAACACTTAAAGCTAAAGTTGATCAAGATAAAAATGATAAATCAGTTAAAGATTTAGTTACATTATTATATGAAACATCACTTTTAGCTAGTGGTTTTACACTTGAATTACCACAACAACATGCTGATCGTATATTTCGTATGATTAAACTTGGTTTAGGTATTGATGAAGAAGATGTTCATGAAGACATTCAAACAGCTTCTGGTGACTCGACTTCAAATATGCCACCACTCGATACTGCTGGAGAAAATTCAGCCTCAGTTTCAGCTGAAGCTTCACGTATGGAAGAAGTTGACTAAACAAAATACAAACAACAACAAAAAAGCATAACGAACACCATTTTTCAACGTTCTTTTTTTTTCTTTTGTTTATGTTGTCTTGTTTTTGTGTCGTGTTTATTAATTCTACTTTCGGCTTGTGTTAATCATCGATTGATGAGATACAGAAATTGAGGAACAAAAATAAAAAACAAGATCTTTTTTGTTGGACTATTAATACTAAACTTGTTTATTGCTTGAAAATCAATGTAATATACAAGAACTAACTATATATCATGATTTTTTGCAAAACACTTGTAATATTCAAAAAAGAATAAAAGATGATGTTTGTTTGACCATGAGACTAACCGTATCACAATCTTTGTAGCATTCATATTTGGAACACAATAGATCTGCTTAGAATATAAATGAGAACATTTAGTAATATATCTTGTAATTTGTGAAATATGACGCGTTCGCAATGCGTGTTAGAGATGAAAAAAGAAATAGTAATTGTAATGCATTATGAAGATTGTGGAAAGAGAATGAAAAAATGACATCTTAAGCCTGTAAAAGAACTGAATAGAAAGAATAGTCTCGTTTTTTTCATCAATAATATTCAATTATACTAGGTGGTAAATAATATTTTGCCAGGGGAGTACCGCCTATAATTCCAAATAGAAGACCTAATAAATTTTATATCAAATGAAAGCTCGTCAAAAATGGGGTTTATTGGTACTAAATAGTAAAGGTTATGAAAAATTTTTAATGTCAAACTTAAGACACTTTTAGAAATTTTATACTTTTTTTAGGGTAGAAAATTAAGGAGTGAGTAACTATAAAATGGAATTCGATTTTTTTATTTTATATTTTTACATCGTTCGATAGAGTTCGTCGAGCTCTACAAAACTGTATATATTAATAATTTTATAAGTCATTTTTTTCCGAAAAAAATTTATAAAACTACTTCGAAAGACTTAATAAACGTTAAAAGAACTTCTTCTTTCTTATATAGAAGAAAAATGCTTGGTTTTTAAATAAAATTAACTATTTCTATTATTTTTATTACCTCAGACGTTTCAAAATATATCCATTCGATGCAGCGTGAAAAACTGCGTCTAATGAGTATATTTTGAAACGTCTGAGGTAATAAAAATAATAGAAATAGTTAATTTTATTTAAAAACCAAGCATTTTTCTTCTATATAAGAAAGAAGAAGTTCTTTTAACGTTTATTAAGTCTTTCGAAGTAGTTTTATAAAATTTTTTCGGAAAAAAATGACTTATAAAATTATTAATATATACAGTTCTGTAGAGCTCGACGAACTCTATCGAACGATGTAAAAATATCAAAGAAAAAAATCGAATTCCATTTTATAATTACTGACTCCTTAATTTTCTACCCCAAAAAAAGTATAAAATTTCTAAAAGTGTCTTAAGTTTGACATTAAAAATTTTTCATAACCTTTACTATTTAGTACCAATAAACCCCATTTTTGACGAGCTTTCATTTGATATAAAATTTATTAGGTCTTCTATTTGGAATTATAGGCGGTACTCCCCTGGCAAAATATTATTTACCACCTAGTACATCGATTCTACAAAGCATTGTTCATCTATAAATGTGATGCGCTCCAATGTTTTTTGAATAACTCTCGATCATTCAAGGCAATCGAGATCAGACTTTTGCCATTTGATAGAGTAAGTTGGGGAACGTCTATCTAGGTAAAATTCATTAGGGTCGCAGAACCTTTTTGGGATTGTGTTTCAAACTAATGTCTTTTAAGTTTTTGTTTTTCATCAGTTTTTACAGCAGCCTAAACTTTAACAACACTACAGTAGTCTGAAAAGTTCCACGTTCATGATGAAATTGTTAGATTTCTACTTCAGTTTCTCGGACTTATCCTTTAGATAAACCATATACAGATGCAAATCTTTTATCATGAATATTAGACTTCTCGGGCTACTCTGTGATGTACTTTGTGCCTACAAAATTGTTCTATCTGTGGTATATATTTCATGTGGATCAGTTATACTATCTTCGAGAACCAGAAATGGCTAAACAAAGGGCGGATATCCGTAAGATTGCTATTTGTAAATGTTTATTGAATAGTTCTTTTACAAATTTATCATTTCTATTCAATAGGAAATTTTGGTAAATTTTCTTCTTGAAATATTTTTCTGATTTTTCTTTTTTGCATTTTAAATAATAATCTTATTGTAGAACTTGTTGTTTCTTAGTTATAAAAAAAAACGTTACACTATAATCTTATTCAAAATTTCTATTTAGTTTAGTACTTCAATTTATTTATATAATATATACGCTATTAACCTATGTTAGTCAGATGCTTAATCATCTTGTTCAGTAGATGAAGCTAATGTATCTGAACGTTGTCGAGTAGGTTTGGGTTGATTTTGAATAAATTTATTTTGAGATTTTCGATTATAATAACGTTCAAAATATCGAGTTCGATTATTTTCTCCTCCTTTTAAATAATGTAAAATACTAAGAGCAATAACAGCGATAAGAAATAAAATACCAAAACAGATAATGAGTATCATTTCAGCTATTTCTAATTTGTACGGAAAACAGTAGAGTATATTCAAATAAGGTAATGGTGGTGATGATAACGATGACTGATTACTTGTATCTATAAGCGTGAATAATAATTGAGAATTTGTTGTCTTTAGAAAATAAACATAGGGAACATTAATAGACATATTTCTATTGAATAAATGATTCCATTGATTCAAATTCCATTTACATAAACTTGTATCAATTTCATATTCATGATTTTCAATTTGAAATACATCAACAAGATCATAGGTATTTTCTGTTGAATTTTGCCAAAGAAATATAGGTATATCATGCGGAGTATATTCTGTTAATGTTTGATTATTTATTATAAAATTAGTATGAGTTACTAATAAAGCTAGACGAATTTCATTGATTAATGATGGTGAACTGGATGATTGAGTAAAATTTATAATTATATCAATGGGAGATATGTTTGATGATGATTGGTCAATAATAATAAAAAGAATCATTTGAGTCGGTCTATTAAGATCGAATTTTGCTCTTGGAATATTCTCATCTATACGTATACGAGCACATTGGAAATTTGTATCATTAATTGTAGATATAAGAGGAAAATGATCACATAAGATAGTTAATGTTTCTTGAACTAGAAGTAAACATTAAATATTATGGTTAAATAAAAATATGAATTAATTTGTTTTTACTTGAAAATATATTCTGTAATGATATTGGACATGTTAAACAGAGAATAAATAACAAAAAGAAGAACGGCGTCATTCTTTACGTCGTTTTCTGTAAGATTGCTCTTATAATCAATATTTTTACCAATATTTTAGAAAAGGTAATTTAGAAGAAATAAATATAATCAACCGCGTGTCGGTTTGAGTCACCGTTCCACATGAGCGATTAGTATACATCGATTAAGAATGAACAAAAAGCTGGAAGTTGTATGCAAAATAAAGAAAGAAACGACGAAAGATAAAATCTGATCGAGTCCATACATGTGAATAAATATGAGAAAACAGTTCAATTTAAATTAGAATGTTTCAGGGTGTTAGACGTATTTCCTATATTAAAAATATTTCTTGAGATAGCTCAAGGTAAAATCATTGAATATAAGACGTCGAGCTTGTATGTAAATAGCATATTAATACAATAAAAGTATTTAGTATTTAATGTATTTTATCTATTAAAATACGAAGAAAATAATTTTAAACTTAAAAAAAAACAAATAGCTAAAAATTTATTTGAACTCACAGAATTTATTTTAAGACACAAAAATTATCTTGTTACGTTTTTGTTGCAAGTGAACTCGTCTTCACATATATAAATACACTTGCCACCGACAGACGACTCCATTAATTACTCAGATCATGTCTGTAGTTAATATAAAAATAAAAACTTGCATCAACAAGCCTAAAATAAGAGATCTTCTGAAAAACAACAAGCATAGTACTTATACTTATTCGAATAAATAATGCAGAAATTTTGGGAAAAGGTTAAGCATCAAGTTATTATTGCACATGCAAAATTGTACACAAAAACATAATTGATGGAAAAAGGCATAGTTGAAAGTTAAACCTTGGAGGATAGTGTTTCACTGAAAATAATCGCATTTCAATTCCAGCAGACATCTGTATATTATTGGAAGAACGCTTTTTTGAAAAGCGATGAAGCTACTTAAACACGTATTATAGTACGTTGATGATGAACTGGTGTCGAAATCAGGACTTATGTCTTGGAGACACTAACTTGACCAGTACACGTTATGTGCATTCGTATGATATATATGTGAAATCCACGATGATTAGTACATTTTAGCATTTCATAAAAACTTCTGATAGACTTTAAGGGTGTCCCCTACCGGCTCTCTTTTTGACCAAAAATTCGATTTCGAGTTGCGCATAAGGTTTGATAACCTCAAGTGTCATGTGCAGTCATAGGCATCATTCGACTGTAAACAGCTTACTGTTAGAGAGTCACTGAATTTAAGACATTTTTTTCATAGTAATCATAATGAAATTCTTTTATTTTGTTTAGCGTAACATAAAACACCAGTTTTCTCAACATTGGCTGCTTATCACATCCATCCAACATTGTTACATTGGGCTGGAATTTGTACCACAGATACTTGAAAGCATTCTCCAGAAGTAAAATCAACTCTTTTCATTTTTGATTTTCCTATCCGGATTTATAGGGCTCTGAAAAGCAATATCTCAGTTTTGGCTTCGAACCTTCACATATTTCTCTCATAGTACAGAAAGAAAATGAGATTTTCAGAAATGCTCAAACATAACTCTAAGATATAGTCTGAGATATCTCCAAAACAAGGTTTTCACCCGGATCGAATCAAGTTTTATGTGAATCGTAATGTAATAGAATGTGATTCTATGGAAAACCAAGATTTTCTCGAAATAATCGTGAAGATATTCTTGAAATTTTGTTTTTCAAATATATATCGCCTCATTCCAAGTACTTTATCTGTGATAAAAATTTCAATCTGATCCGTTGTACCTTTTTTGAGAATCAGAAATGATTTAAAAAGAGAGAGAGTACCCCTAATGGACATTATTTTCCTTCACTCAATACCG